TCAGAGAGCACAGGTGGCTAAGAAGCAACCCTGGCTACAGATGCATCCCAGGTCTCTGAAGGTGAGGTCAGAAGAGAAGGACACTGCGAAACCTATGGAGAACCAAAAAACCTCACTTGCCATTACTTGTGACAACTGCACTCTGATTCTCCCTGCCACAAGCTCCTGCTTTCTGCTAACCTCCTGAAACTGATTTAGATTTTTAAATGTGTATGTTCTGTCTTTCTATCTCTTCCTTTTCTTCTGCACTATGCAAGTTGCACATAAATCATCTCAGGAAGGGACTTAGCTTGTCCCTTTACAGTGATGACAAACTCAGTACCTAAAGATCCCCAGTTTCCCCAGGGATTAATCACCTCTCAAAAAAGAGCAATTTGCATTTTTCGTGGGAAGGAAACAAATTCGTACTTTTGTTTCTACAGATTAAGCAAAATACCAGCTGTTCACAAACATGACAGTTCGATAGTTCATTTAAAATATAGCAGAGTACCTGTTTGCTAGCTGCTCTCTTACCCCATTGAGCAAAGCACCAGGGTGCATAGAAGCCACTGGGTAGTGCTGCAGACCGAAGTTTTTTACTTGTAGCGCAAGTTCCCCTGCATTTGGGTGATGTGTGGGTCCCCACAGTGCCCCAGTAGTCTGCACCTGACTCTGAGTGGGTTTTGAGCAGGGAAATCCCAAGTCATGTGTCTTACAGAGAACTGGGATGATGTACATGCTTATCCCACAGGTTAAAAAATGAGCCAATATCAATGTGCAAATAGAGCACAAACTTTGGAAGGAGAGAGACCCAAACCTCACTGTATGGGCAGTTGGTTCTCTAAGGAACTCTAAGACCTTGTGTCTTTGCTGAGGAAGAAAAAGCACAGCTCAGCAACTGATGACATGCAGGACATCATAAGGTGGCACCATCAGCTGCTGTCACATCCTCGGCTATTGGTACTTGCCAGCACACTGTGTTCTCCTGGAGTCAAAGCCTTGCTTAGCATAAATAAGAGAGCTCCATTTTCTCCCATGTTACTGTGATGCAAAGTAGGTGTCAAACACCTGCAGCATCACCTCCAGCAATTACCACCCGATTTATACTCTCTGAGCAAAAAGCAGGGGAAACAGTTGTACTTCCCAAGTGTTTGTAGAGTTACTGCAAAAAAAAATACATGTACTGGAAGAAATGTTCATCAGATGAAAATTAAGAGAAAATGCCTCAGAAACAACCAGAACATAAAGACTGATTGCCCATGCTGATACAACTAGGAAGGATGGTAAGGGAACATGGAAAGCGTTTTCTCAGTTCATTGATGATCCTGAGGACAATATACAGTCAGCACAGATCAGATTTTCTAACACATCAGAACATTTTCTAACCATCAGAAACAAAGGAAAATCATACGGGAAAGGGGAGACAGAGTCGCTGCGTTCACTTGCCTGTGATCTGGAAAGCTCAGAGCTCTGGAGCATACACAGTGAGGACAAAAGTTTAGAAAAGTTCTAGAGATAGGAAGTAAAGAACAAAGCTACAGAAAACCCAAGAGCTGACAGCAGTAGCAGTGTTACTGTGATCCTCGCAGGGCAATAGAGCAGTGAAGAATGTCAGTTGATACTCTTGGTGGTGTGCTACTCTGTTATTTTTCTGGGATTTCAATTATTCATATAGAGGTCCGATGTTTCTAAATACTCATCTAGAAATAATGTACCTGCAATTCTGTTTGCTTGAGGTGCAGGGACAAGTGGGAAAGGGAGACAGTCTCTGGAGCTTAAAAATGGCAGTGAAAAGTTAGAAAGAATTAAAAAAAAGGACGAGAGAAATACTTCCAAAACTGAAGTAAACATCTGAGCAGACATGAAAAAGTAGTACATTCTAGGAAGAAAGGATAAGGAACCATCTTGGCAACAGTCTCAACAAAACAAAAAGCAGTTTTTCACATTCTTATGGTGCAGTGGTGGGAGATGAAAAAGGCTGTGGCAAGGCAAGGAGAGTGTGTTAGCAGATGCCCTGGGAATATATTTAGATAGTGCTTCAAAAGGCAGCCATCTGCTTAGGTATTCACAATGGCCTTAAATGTCTCCTGCCTATTTGTCGACACTTAGACTCTCACAACTGATAGTCCAAATCACTCCCTGGAGCTAACTCAGGTTTTAAACACCTGCCTAACTTCTAAACCATGATTTCACATTCCTGTTTAGCAAAACCCAGGAGTGTGTGTGTCCCAGAGTAGGCTACTGTGCTGTGGATATTTCTGAGGAAAGGCAAAGGAACAGAGCTTTAAATGCTGCTGTCTCCATGGGAGCCTACAGCAGCTGTAGGAGCTCGAGCAATGGTAGTCCAGACATCCTCACCAAGGCTACACCTTTCTGACAAGAGATGCTCTACCATGTCCTCCCTGCCAGTCCACAGCTTCTCTGCAAGCAGCCTCCCATGGAGCCAGTGCAGCTCAGCAGTCCCCCATCCTCCAGCTGTGTTTATTCCTGTGTTTAATCCAGGTATAGGTGTCCTTTAGCTCTGTTCACCATGTAATGAACGTCTTCCACTCTTCTTCCTTACTTGCTTCCTTCTCTCACAGTCACTGGCTCCTGGGGTTTTGTTTTAATGGCTGCTGTGCTCCAGCATGACCGGAATGTAGAATTTTGCCTTCTCATTTAGTGACAAGATCCCTAATGCAAGAAAAGACCATGTGAGTTACCATCCCTGGCTGAGTAGCTCCTGCAGAAGGACACCCATGGCCAAACATAAACCAAAAAGGGGGTGAGCAGTGAAGGACTAATAGAAGAATAAAATATTACCTCAGTCTGCAGTGCTTCTGGGAACCCTAACTCCAGCTGGCAATATTGTTGCATCATCTCCTGCCATGGGATATTATCTTGCCATCAGAAATGCTCTGAATTAAATACGTAACTTTTCTGGGATCCCTGTGTACTGATGCCGTCCATGGAAATAAGTCTTGATGTAAAGCAGTTGCTCTTCTACTGCTGGGACTATCAGGTGGCAGGGAGCAGCTGAACATGCCTTTCTCAACATTCACCTCATGCTTGTACATTATTCAAAGGGAGAAAAAATAGCTTCATCTTTGGGGAGGTTGAAATTGCTGATTTCTTTCCTGTCCTAAGGAAAAATGAGAGCTAAAGACTAGGAAGAAGTAGAGCAAGGCTCTGCCCAGCAGAGCAAGACATAAAGGGCCCAACTGAGCCTCCTCTCTCAATACTGGAAAGAGCAGGCCAGTGCCCTGTCTGAAGGAAGCACCTAGGTTTGAAAGCTACCTCTATAGGACTCCTTAGGCAGAACAGATAAAAGAATATTTAGCCCAAGGAAAAGAGAAAAGAGAAGTTTAATAATTGCCTTGCAGTATTATCTGTCCTGGGTAAAATGTCTAGCATTTGAAGCAGAGGATCAGAAGTTAGAATCCCCATGCTTTCTTTCTGATTCAGTCTAGTAACTTTTCTGTGTCTCTGTTTTCCATTCTGTCACTTTTTAAAGTAATTTTTTTAAAACCTGCTTTATTTCCAGGTTCAGAGAAATGTAAAGTGGTCAGTTATACTACACACTGAGGTACAGATATGAAAATCAGTTATCGTTACCTTGTTTTTAATAATACTAGATAGATCACAACTAAGATCAGATAAGACTTTATTCTGCCCTCATGTTTGGGGTGGAAATAATCCATGTGCAGCTGAAATCAGGAAAGACATTCACAATTAAGGCTACTTCAGGCCCATCACCCATATACTACATTTTTCAGTACTTTATTCCACATGGAAAGGTCTTGACTATCAAGGATGGCACTACAAGGAACTGTTTTAAGAGCTGATTTACCATCTCCTGCCTATCCTTGCTGGCAACCCTTCACTGCCTAAAAACACCTAAAAAATTATAATTTCTACCTGAATTCACCAGCTGCAGACATGGGCATCCTTGCTGGAGTGAGTGACTGCAGGGAAAGTTGATGTAGAAGAGTCCCTCCCTGAGCTGGACAGGGTGAGAGAAATAAATCAGTTGCTGACAAGACTCTTCTGTGGCTACGCTGCCTGCAAGTTATCTCTCATCATCTTTAATTGTGTAATACTGCATACCTGTGTGTCCATAGAGAGCTGAACTGAACAGAGGGCTCCTTGGGAGCCTCTTGAAATGAGTGCTCTGTGCTTAACACACAGGTAGCTAAGGAGCAAACTGAGCTGCCATAAGATCTCTGGAAAGCCAGGGAAATTTAACTTCCAAGTTCTCTCCTGACACCATCATGTCACCTGAGTCTTCTTAGCCCAAAGTGTTGAAGCAACCAATGACATCCATCCTTTTTCAGCACATAGAGGTACTAGAGCACATCTGGTTGAATGGCTGCAGCCTCTGTGAGTGAGTCCCAGATCCCTGACCCTAGACCCTTTCTCTTATCTGTTTCTTAGGATGTTTTGAGTGAGGTAGATTGTGGTAATTGAATCAACTGAAATAGGAGACATAAATCTGAGACCCTGGCAAACTGGGCACTGTGAAGATGCTAATTAGCTCATTCCAAAGTAAATCTTATTTGTAGCACTAATTCTCGGTTGGTCTGAGACCTTTGCCATAAAAGTTCAAGTCCTTTGGGACTGGACTTTTGCCCTCAGGTATTCCCTATGCATGTAGCTATGTAAACTCGATCCCTTGACGCCTGTCTTTGGTCACTGCTTGTCCTCGGAATAACATTAGTTTTGGATGCTGCTTTTTGGACCACGTGGATTAAAGGATATCTCTGGCACACCATCGTGTACCTGTCTTTCTTTATAATACATCCACACTATTACCCAGTTAAGCCAGTAAGGTTGTCACAAGGGGAGAACCCCCGGAACGTGACAGTAGACTCCAGTGCCTAAACTGCAGCAGGAAGCCCTGGTCTCTGCAGGTCTGATTTGACTGGTGCTCCTTTGTAACCTAGAGGAACTAACCTACCTGACATTTGTAGGAATCAGGCTTTTAGAAGGAGAATTCCAGCACAAGGAAAAGGCATGGGTGAATGGCAGTTTAGAGGACTTACTGGCCTGCTTGGCTTTCTCTGTATAGGTGGTAGTTAGGTCTTCATCAATCGGATGTTCCACTGGCCCCACCATGGGGATGAGATGGCGTTCTGCTCGGATAGCCTTGGTGCCATGGGGCAGGAGCATTGCCTCTGGAGAAGGCTCCCGTCCCTCTGTTGAGGGCGGCCGCAACTGTCCCTCGCTGTCTGAGAACGGAGTGTCAGTGCGACTGCCAGGCAGGCAGACAATCTCCCTCTTGGCCACCCCGCTGGAGCTGGCCAGCTCTGCTCCCCCCTGCGCAGCAGCCTCCGGCATGCTCTCGTAGCCACTCTGTTCAGACAGGGACACCTCGTCCTGCGGTGCGTGACAGCTGGTGGTGCTGTCCGGGGGGGAGCGTGGGCTCTTCTTGCGAGCCCGGCGGTGCTTCTCCTGTGCCATGTTGTCAGCGTCGCTGTCTGTCTCACCGTAGTAGGCCTCGCTGTCCGGTGGGGACGTGAGGCTCTCCAGGTTCCTCTGTGACCTCCATGGCTGGGAGGGCTGGGAGGGCTGGGAGGGCTGCGTGGTGACTGGGGCTCCTGCTGGTTCAGAGCTGAGTAACTGTGCTGGGGGGCTGAGCAGGGATGGTGAAGAGAGCACTCGCTGCCCTGGAGAAGGGGAACGCTGCAGCCGTGGGCCAGTCTGGCCCCCACCAACTATCCTGTGGGGAGAAGGAAAAGTGCTGAGTGAAGTCTGGCTTGTGTAGCTAAACTGGAAGGAAACCCTGATGTGAGAGAGGGCTATGGATTGGGGCAGTGTTAGAGATGTTTTTCAGGTGGTACAGACACCTGAAGTGTAGATGCCAAGGACAGACTTGTCCCTGACATCCAGCTACATGCTCTCATTCTGATTTTCTGCTTCACAGCTCTACAAAAACCAGGTGTTAAACACTCAAAAATCAGAATGCCCTAAATCCATAAAAAATCTACCAAGCTTAATCAGCTGCCCAGGCATTTCTCCTGGAGAGAGGAATTCCTGCATAGCAAGCATTCCCCAGGACAGTGAGACCTACCCTTCAGCCTGTGGCTTGTCAGCAGAGAACAGCTGGTGCTCAGCTATCACACTGCACTCCAGCTGCTCCTGCTGCTGAGACTGTCAGATCTGCAGATCCTGGCACCCCTAAACTGCTTTAGTTCAGACTGGGCTCCCAAGAAATCAGTGCTATTTGTTTGCTCTGACCTCTACATGGGAGGAAATAGCAAATACTTAGGATATAAAGGCCCAAGTCTTTTTTGGGGATAGAACTATGGTATCTGGTGATAGGAGACCACTCTAATATTTAGCCTGCTTGCTGTGGGACTGCTTCACAAGCTAACTATCAGTACTTGGGTTTTGATGACCATATCCACGGTGGCATTTGCCTTTGGCTTAGATATAGCAATTTCAAGCCTCTAAGACATCTGGAGGATGACTGGAGTAGGTGCCAAGCAGACTGGGGCAGTCAACCCTACTGCTGGCTTCCAGAGGGAAGGACAATTGGCTGTGCTGACAGGAAAAGAGCCCATTTTGTCTTCCCTCTCCTCAAGAGTGAGTCTGGATTTCAATAGCAGTTTGACTCCAACCCACACAGATAGAGCTGGGAACTTGTTCCTTCTCTTGTCAGACTCACCAGGGCTTATAAGAGCTATAAAGGAGTCCTAAATATTTGCCTTCTGAATATCCATACCATGAAGCCAGGCAGCCAGTATTGCCTCTGTAAAGCGGTGGAACTCATGACTCGGATCCCAGTTCTAAACTGTGAAACATTTATATTTATGTCAAATGCAAACTTTTATGAAAGCTAAGGGTGGGAGAATTTCTCTGGCAGTTTATTTTTTAATACTATATGCCATTGTGAAATCTCACTGGGGAGCAACCTCAAAATTCCACAAGCAAAACAGAAGAGTCCTTCCTCTTCCTTGAACACTTGACCGAGTAACTGAGAGCATTAACTGCTTGTAAGCCAGTTTCTCTTGTTCTGTTCTGTCAGGCCAGTGTCTATCCCTTCCTCTTTTTCTGAAATACACATACTCCAGAATCATCCAGATACCTCTCCTTTCTGAACAGGAATGATTGGTGTTTTCGCTGGGAAGGTAAAGATGAAGTGGGAATAGAGGTGATCAAGAAAGAAACGTTTAATGATTTCTCCGCTACTCCAAATGAATACATTATTTCCAAACCATCCAGTGTTGGCTCCATCCAGAGGGTTGCAAGAAGCCTGCCTTTGTCACTTTGTAATTCTAAGTCTGCTGATTTTGACCAATTAGAATTTGCCCAGGCACCTGTTGGCTGAAGATAGGCTCCAATGGTATGAGATAAGGCCTTGGCAAGGGACCATGAGCTATTCTGGACACGCTGTATAGAACTTACTCATCCCACTTAATCACAGCTAGGGTATAGAGTGAGCACATCAGAAGGCACCAGCACTTTCTCTGAAGCCAAGGGGGAGATCCTACATGCTCAGGCTTTCCTTCTCTGAGCACTACCCACCTCTGCTCCTGCTTCAGGGATGAAAACAACCAGCATGGCTGTCCCTCACCACTGCTCACAGTGCTCTCTGTGTCTTTTCAGGACTGTAGAAGATCACATCTCCCAGCCCCCTTCACCAGGGCCTGATTATCTGAGGGTGACTTCTGTTTAGGCAGTCGTGTGGACTAGCAAGGACCTCACACAGCTTTGCTGCCTTCACCTTTATAGGATTATTCATTTATAGCTTGGGCTGCATCCAGCATGCACTGACGCACTGGGTTAACTTGGCACAGGGAGGACAAGGAACATTACTGGGACTATTTTTTGTCCATAAATTTGAGCCTGATCTCCAGTATTCTCCTGAACTAGAGACTGGCACAGATATTTCTTCCCATAAAAATGGGGCCTAGCCACACACCTCTAATCTTTGTGGAGTCAGTATATAGACTGTTGGACTACAACAGCCCACTGTAAGACAGGGCAAAACATTGAGATGTCCACATGTTAGCCATGTTAGGACATGGGTAAGTCCTCCTAGTACACCTTGCAGTATGGTGAAACCAAAGGCTTCCTGCCTGCCTTGTTTCTGCTGGATGTGGACAGCTGCTGTTCTGGATGAAACCATCCTACTGCCTGCACTGTCACAGCACTGGGACTTGGGAGCAAGTTACCTTTTCACACGGATGTTGAGCGTGCCATTGGAGGAATCGATGATCTGCATGGCATTAGCATGGGACAGGCCAGCACATGACTTCCCATTGATAGATACTAGAACATCATTTTCCCACAGGCCTCCACGGCATGCTTTGCTTCTCTTCCGAATCTGAAAAAGCAGGAGAGAGGATAAGGTTGAAGGGAAGAACAGCAGCTATGTAGTTCAGTTGCTTGTCTCTTGCTGGCCCTTCTATTGTTCCATTCCTCACAGAACAAAATAAGGCCTAAGACTACTGTGGTGACAGAGTGGAGCACTAATCCTCTTGGATGAGCCCTGGCTCTGCTTTCTGGTCTCTGTATTCCTGTTAATTCCAAAAATCACTCTGCTGAACATAGGCCTGATCACCAACCCTGTTCAAGTTTTTTAGTGCAGATGAAAGACTCAAGAATATTTACATGCTCTTCTCCTCTTGTTCTCAGTCTCCTAAGTTGGTTAGGGAGTCGGTGTTTCAGAGAGAGAACAGACTACGCCTGCACATGACTTGTGTCCTTCTGCATGCCTCTACTGTACTTCCTTGGTATGATCCCTGACTCATGCAGAGCCTCTGCAAGTACCATTCTCAGGGAAGCTGACACTGGGGAGATGTGGCAGCTCTGAGGCATATTCTGTTGTTAAGCATTTCTGCTCCAATGGCTTTGGTCAGTGTATTTCTGGACATCTGCATCAGGCCATATGGCGTCCTATTACACAAGTGTAAACTTGGAATAAATCTTTAGCCTTAACAGGAGTTGTGCAAGATATGCATTGCTATATCTGAGAAGGGAATCAGAGTCCCTGGTTCCAGGCGAGCTCCTAGATCTGGCCTCTCATGGCAATCTTGCACCAAGTGTTCCCTCTCCCTTTCATTCCACCATCCATCAGTTAAACTTCTTACCACCTCAGCCTAGCCTTTCTGCTAGGGCAAGCAAGCAAGCAAACCAAATGTACACTCAGCCAAAAACCACAGACCTCTCCCATATAGGCAAGCAATGGGGATTGTCTTGTAGGACAGCTTGGCATCCATAATGTATTCATTTTGCATATAAAAGAATAGCCAGGTAAAATCACTGGGTCAGAGCAAGTGAGGACTAAGGTAGTATTACACTCTGTTTATAGATTCTTCTAGAATATTTCTTCAGATCTTGCAGTTAAGTGAAAGACAAATCTGTGCAGAGCTGCTTAACAGAGGGTGCAGTGAACAGACTGTCAGACCCCTGCAGAGAAGTAATACTCAACAGGGCACCTTCACCCAAATCTCACAGCCTTGCCGCTTGAGCCACCAGATTTATCTATAACATCGTAATGGCAGCTTCAGGAAAGAGAAGTGAATGTGGGAGGATTGCTGCCCCATCATTGTTCTTGCAGGAGCAGCAGGGGAGCAGGAGAGGAGAGAGGTGGAGCCCTAAGGAAGTCCCGTGGCATGATTGGCTGGTCTTAGGGCCCAGGCCCCCTGCACCCATGGCGTGTGTGAGTGCCTTGGGCTTGACCCTACTGGCCGGTGTTGAGCAGACAAGAGCAACACTCCTCCCAGGTCAGCCTGTCAGCAGGACTGAGAGGTGTTGGGAAAGAAGATGGAAAGAGGTGGGCTATGCTTCAAGTTGTTTTTGTGTTCACTGGTACTTTATCATTCTGTAGCCTTTCCAACTTGACCCCAAATCTTGCCTGCATGCTTAAAATAGGGACTGGCTCATCCCAGCTGCCACATCCATCAGCCTCTGTCATTTCAGTCCTTTATCTCCCTCCTTGTTAATAAAAGCCTGGAATGAGCACGTGTAGGTCTGTAATGAACTACTGCTGAAGAACCACTGTTACAGTATAAATGCTGCTTCCTGATACTTCCTCCAGATGCAGCTGTTAAGTGAGAAGGTAAAGAAGACACATTTTCCAGTGCTGCCTACTGACACAGCTAATGAAAAGAGTTAGGAAGCTGAAAAGAGGTTAAAAGGAGGGCTTCCCAGTATTCCTCAAAAGGCCAACTGCTGCTCCACAGCCAAGTACTTGGTGCTTAGCACTGGATGGAAATATACTTGCTGAGTATCTCTCTCAGTTGTGAAGCGAGGGGACTGGGGGTTAAAGGCTGTCAGCAGGTGCTCAGATCATTCCTTACATCCCATGGTATTCCTCCACTGAAACCAAGGATGTAGGCTGGTGACCAGCCAGAACAGCAACAGTAAACTTTTTGCAATACTCTAATCCCTCAGTACTGGTACAAGTCTTTGCAGGCAACTGTTTGGGGGTCCCAGGCAGGAAGGATCAGGCTGTGCTCCCAGCACTGCCCAAAGCTGTTTCAGGTACCTTTATACCAGAGAAGGCTGGTGGGACTCAAGCAGGCCATGTAGGTTGATAATCATGAGCAGGCAATGCATTTTTCTCATGGTTAGTGAGGATTCTGGGTCTGGCTTGGTCTGTGCTCAAATTTTACTGGACTGACAGAAAGCACATGCACTAAAGCAACTATTGGTACTTCAGTGCTCTACAATCCAGGAGGGACTTTTCCATGTCTCCATTCCTTTCTGGGAAAACAGGACCAGGTCTCTTCCAGTGCAGAAAGAGACCTATAGAGTCTGAAAAAAGCATGTGTCTGGCTCAGTCTTCCACAGATTTATAAACCCTCCCTGAAAGTTTATGAATTTGCATCCTGGGATCAGAGGGACATGAACTACCCACAGCTTCATTTTTATGCCAAACCCTTACCCCACTGCATTTGCCAGAGAGGAAGGCAAAGGGGTTAAACACAGATGAGAATTGTGCAGAGAAAGAACAGGACAGGACTTAATTCACAACCACAACAGCAGGGTGCAGTGTGCTGGAGGCTGCAGAGCCTCTGGACAGAGACCAACACAAGCCTGCCAGTTTTTATATGAGTGCCAGCTCTGTGCTCTAGAGACTTTAATGACAACCCATAACTTGCTCATCTTTAGTACAGCGAGGGCAGCACTGAGCCTTTGAGGCCCCAAGCCAGGGTGGCTGCCCAGTCCAAAAGCCAGGCTCCCTGCCTGTCCTGAAGGTCAGGCTGTCCTCAGGATCAGCCACTTGCTCTCCGTGTCCAAAAGATGCCCTCTCCTGGGCACCCAGTGAGCCACATGAAGTGTCACTAACAGGGAGTTTCTGCCTAAGCTGCAGAAAGCTTGGAAGCTGTTCTGAAGGGGTGGGAAAAGTTGGAAAAAGTGGTATTTCAAGGACAAAACCTCTCTACTTTCTGTAACGCATACCTGGAGAGCTTTCTTGTGCAAGTGAGCAGCAGCACTGACAGACTCTGACAAGTGGTCAGGGCTGGCCCCAGACCTGGCCCTGGGAGATTGCACTGCTCGACCTTCTAGCACATCCTGGTGAGGACTGACCTCTCCTTTTGTGGGAAGAGCCCCACAAATTCTGTGAGCCTCTTAGAAGTGACTGTTAGACTTTCCACTCCATGCCTCAGTGGACACACTCTCCCATGGCATACTCACGTCATGTATATCCTGTTTAGATTTCAGATGAGTTTAGGAAATCCCGATTTCAGAGTCCTATGGATTTGTGGTACTGGAAATACAAATCAGTGTAAAAAACTGGAACACATTTACTCAGAAAATTGTCCATCTCCCTGCCCTCTCAGCAGAAGATTTGTAGCGACAAAAGAGCTTTTGTCAGAGAGGTTGGGGTGTCTGCAGTACCTATGTACATGCACATATACACATATGTTTTCTTTCATTACTTTGCCTGCTTCCTCTCATTGATCATGTTCAATCAGACAGAAGGGAAAGGACAGAGGCAGCTGAGACATTAAAAAAAAAAAAAAGAATAAGGTAACAACTGAAGAGGAAAGGAATAAGAAAAGGTGTTGAAACAAAGGTCAGTGCTAGGAGAGGCCAGGAAGGCCTGGGTTGAGATCAGGCTTTAACAGTACAGTACAAGTTTCCTTGTACAGCCCTAGGCAGACAAAAGGACATGCTGACTGTTGACGTGTCTTGGGGAATTCAGCCTAGCTTTCAGGAACAGAATGCAAGAGAGGAGGGGGTCAGATGCAACTTGGCAGCATCTGTCCTTCAATAGGAACTATATTTAGGTAGTGGTATGTGGGGGCTGAACACATGCTGAGATGCTAAGAATAGAGTAATCCTGATAGTAACTCGGTGGCTTCACATCTTGCCTCAGTACAGCCCAGGGAACCTGTTTTGAAACCTTGCAACCACTCTCCCTGCTGGTCAGCACCGCTTCTTTGTAATGAAGTAGGCTGTGGGTAAATAGAAGTGGTTTGCAGTGTAGGCTCATGTCATCCATCTCTTCCCCTTGCCACCTCAAACCACCTCCCACTTCCTCTCACTGGGACAGCTCAGCATATAAGGTAGGAAGATAAATTTTATTATCAGTCTTCACCTAATCTCCTGCAATCTTTCCAGCAGAAACCTAGCAGCCTCAGTTCAAGTCAGAGTTTTATACTGAATACAATTTATCTTCCCACCCAATGCCTTCCACTCTTTGATTGCATCTCTCAACACACAGCCTTCCTCTTCCCCCAGAAGCTACAATGCCATGGGGTCCAATAACCCACACAACCTGGCAGTGTTTAAATTTCATTCCCAGCCTTATGTGAACTGCAATCCTGTCACAGGGTTCTCATGGAGAGGTAAGAAATTACTTTTTGTGGTATAAAGCATTACCAAAATGGAGTGACTCAAGCAAGAGCCAACCAGCATGTGGGTCTGCTCCTCCTAGAACTTCCTGCTCAGCTGAACCACAAACATAGCAGATGCAAAAGCGGAAACAAACGCCCTTCATCTCTTCTTCTTTCTGAAGATGTGTATTCATATCATTTTGGTGATTGGGCCAGTTTAGTTTTTCTTCAAGGACAGGGTTTACTCTTTTTTGTGTGAAGAAGGATACCCTAAAGTGGCTAAAGAGAGGAGATTGCTAGAGTGGGATTCAGAAGACCAACCAAAAAAGATTTTTTTGTGTGATCTCGGATAAAACACTCAGACTGTGAGCCATAAAAGGCAGGAACCTGGAAACCAGGACATTTTCCAACAGTCTTTCTTTATCTCAGTTGCCCACCTGAACAGAGAGATCCAGTGAGATACTTTCCCTTTGCCTTATCTATGAAGTAGCAAATAACATTACATTCTCATGTCAATGCTGTGTTTTTAGTGGAA